AATAACAGGTACTTTGTAAAAAGAGCAAGTAGTCTTTGCTTCTTCTATTTAATTTTATCTTACTCAGAAGAATAAATGGCTAAAAGTACAAGAGAGATTGAGAGATAGGAAGAATGAGACTGACAGAAGGACAGAGTGAAAAAAGAAAGAAAAGCCAGTCAGGAAACCCAGCTCCCTAAAAATTCCTCCTTTCTCAGCAGCTAAAGCAAAATGTTTCCTAAATCTTGACAATAACCCATTATTTTACTTTCTGGTTGGCTGGAACCCGAACAATCATCAATCAAGTTTGGGTGGCTGTGAAGTAGGCCACATGGAGTTTGTCAGCAGCGTTTTCTACTCTTCGGTGCAGCTTGGCCATTAGAGCAGCTGCTCCACAGAAGTGCCTGATTCTTTCACATCTGTCAAGATAGTTTAGGGAGACCTTGAACATCCCTGGCATTGCAGACACTTGATTAGAATATGCAATTGTGTGTGTTAGAGGAGATGTGGCTGCCTCTGCTGGGATTTTGTGATAAAAAAAATTATCCTCTCCTCCTTTCCAGCCTTTGATACATGTTTTCTCATGACCTCATTTGTATACTAAATACACAGACCATAGTGTCTAGGATAGCATTGTCACATTGCGGACAATCTCAAAATGCACAAGATTCAAGAATATACAATTTTCATCCTGGAATAGCTACACTTTGGCCCAGCAGCCCAAGATCAAGGTGTTGACATCCAATCTGAGAACACCTCAGCAAAGTTATGGAGAAGAGAGCCCACGAGAAATGCAAATAAGCTTCAAATCCCTGATTCATCATCAGTTGCCCCTTAAACTCAATATACAGCAGAATTTCTCTAATAATTCTCCTCTTACAAGCAGTGAGTTCTGAGATGTCCAAGTGTCCCAGCCTACAATCCAAGCAGCTGCTTGGAAGTACTAGCCAAAGACAAAATTCTGAGATAGAGCAACTGCTGATGAGGAAAAAATACAAATGTTTTTAAGAAAAGTTATCCAAGAGGTAAAATTAGTTTCCAAATTAACGGGAACGCTTCAAGACCATTTTAAGGCTTTTCCATGAATGCTAGTTAATGATAAAAACAAATCCTTAAGAACTCCTAGATCACCAGTTTACCAGGCAGGCATTGATTCCTAAGGATAATGTGTATCTTTTAGTTTAATTTAGAGGTTTTGCTGCCACTTACAGAAGTTCCTGCAAAAGCAAAATATACTTCCATCGGCAAATCTGCAAAAAAAAAAAAAAAAAAAAAAAAAAAAACCACCTTCAAGACTTTTCTGTAGGTATACGTTTCCTTTCTATTTAACATAGATCAAACTCTTATGAAACAAAAATCATCTTCCAAAGTAGTTAGCTGAAAGCATTGAGGCACAGGCTTCATCTTGTGACCAAAGATGCTTCACGCAACTGTTCACGAACAGGAAACGTGGATAAGCAACAGGAGAGCAGCAGTCACAGATGACATCAATTTATCTGCATTATTCTCCAAGAGTAGAGAATGTGAGGAGGAAATTCAGATACGAAGCCACACCACGGAAATGTGTCAGGTGAAATTCAATACACAATGCTCCGTTGCCCAACACTAGAAAAAAAATAGTCTGATATACCAACACACCACTACGGGCTCTTAATTAACTGCACTAATTTTTTTTTTTTTAAATATAAGATTCAGGGACAATTGTAAAAGGTTCAGATAAAGATATCTGCTTCACATGCAGCAGTGATAGAAAGAAAAATATTTAGTTTAGTGAGTAAGTATATTACACTTAGTGACTGTAACAACAAATAATAAAGAAAATAGTATAGTGCTATTTTTCAAGACAAATCAGTAGAGGACATGCTTGGAATACTGTGTACAGTCCAGTAATTTCATTTCAGGAATCATTTAGCAATAACAGAAGGAATGCAAGTAAGTCCAGTAGAGAATATTCTCTACCATGGATAAACTGTCATGCAAAAGAATACTTAAAAGCCAAAGGTTTTAGCTTTAAAACCAGGCAAGTGACAGAAAATAACAAAGGACACATTCAACTACAGTTGATTGGAGAAACTAAGTGGGGGGCTTTTACTCTCTCTATAATACCAAATCAAAAGAAGTAGTAGTGTAATAGATTACAAAACATAACCCTAATAAGCCTAATAAAAGGAATATTTCAGCACACGGGAAAAGAGGCTTAGTCAGGGAAATCATTAAAGAAAATCTTTACTAAATATATCGGTATTTTTCAGTGAAAATAACTTTGTTGAAATGTTCTCAGTCAGTTAACACCTGCTTGTGGTACTCTCAACTTATTTTTGTCAGGGATGTACTCAGTGAGGCTTTTCTTGACGAATACACCACTCAGACGTATCAGTGTAGTGGAGGAGCACGTTATTTTAATCGATAAGACCCTCACTTACTACTCTCTTGCCAGAGATAACAAATGTTACACAGCCACCACCTTGCTATTCTAGGCAATCACTGGGAACTGACTGCAGTTAATTAGTACGTACAGGTCCAGTTGCATATAAATACAGACCTTACACAACAGTGTGCCTCAAAAAATTGCTACTTCCAAATAAGCTATCATATGCTTTTCCTTTTGTAGTCTTGAACCAACGATGTGACGCTAGCTGTGGGTGAAAAGGGAGCCCAATATGTGCCTGCACTCCATTCCAAGTGCCAAACAATAAATACATCATTCCTCTCTTCTTCAAAGAATTAAATTGGGTCCCGTTCTAATTATAGATTGAATATGGTTTAATTTTTCCTTCACTTAGACCGCAGTGGGGGGCTTTCACATCAGGAAGAAAATAGAAATACAGATTCTCATTCCCACTAACATTTCAGCATTCAGATCTTTAATGCTGAAATACAGTTAACACAAAATTTCATACAATATTAATATAATTGACCTGAATTCTTACTCTAGTTCCTACTGCTACTGCCATTACACTGTCCCATGTAGCTCCTATGAAGTTACACACAGACGCTTGTCTCAAATCTGCAATACGGATTTCTTATCTTTAGCTAACGGCCTCAACAGACTCGCTGTGTTTGACTTCCACACATGCTGCTCCTACTAATGCCAATAGCAGATGAACGAGCAGGTGGCATGCAGGAAGATGCCATAAGATTTCTAATGCAGATCAGGAGAGCAGAATTTCTGCCGACTGCTTATGATCACAACTTACATTTGAACCTATTTCCCCATTCGCATTCTTTCAGGTCAAATGAAGATGGGTTTCTCAATTAAGTCGCATCACATAACTATGTTTGCTGTAGTCAGTCACAATCCAACTGTCACAATCCAAGCCCAGCTGCAACTCATATCTAGAGCTTAGCTAACGTTACTCCAATTCAGCAAGCTCTATTGAGATGCTGCCTTTAAAACTGCAGCTTGAAAACTCCTCTGTACCATCCAACAGCACTGCTCTCACAGAATGATCCTGCATCAATACTCACCTCTTTCTGCCTCTTCCCTCTTCTGATGGCCATTGATGGAATATACTGACTCAGCAAGAGCCAAACAAGGCAGAGAGCTAGTCGTGGCTCAGATGGCAGCAGCCTTCTGGCAGCACAATAGGAAGCTTTATTCAATAAACTCCCAAGCACCACTTAGGCATGGAAATTTACTCAAAAAACAAAACAAAAACAAAAAAACACCCACACACCCTCCCCCCAAACTAATAAAGAATAAAATCACATAGCTCAAAGCCCATTCTGTATTTATTCCCCTTCAGTCACATCCATCCCCAAATGAAGATGTTTATTGCTGCAAACTCAGCAAAGTCAACTGGACTCTGAAAATCTAGTTGTATCCTTTCTGCTTCACAGCTTGTCATTATCCACATACGTTCTGGGCTCAGTGCTTATCTGATAACCCCATGGATGACGTGCAAGGAAAACCTGTTATAGCTGTACTGACCGCAAAGCAGATGCATGCACGCACACATAAAGAACATGCCTGCCACCTAATCAGATGCGTCTCTGACTACACATGCAGCGCAGGCCACCTGCAAGTACCCCTCAGATCACTGGTGCACCAAAGTCCACAGTTTGAAAATTGCTCGTCCAAGCTCTACCTGTCACTCCTAATCAAATGTATCTTTATAATCATCCAAACAGTCAATGCCTGGAATGTGTTTAACCTCAGCTGGTTTTCAGCGAGCAAATGCCAGAGTAGCATAGCTGGTAGCATTTACTTAAAATACATTACTTCTGTGTCTCAAACAACCACCCACAATTTCAGCTCTCACTATAAAACATCCTACATACATCCTGCTACTGCACCAAATGTGTACGTTAAAAGGCCTTAATGATCAGAAAGAAAATAAGTTTGTCTAAGAGATACCTGGAAACACAAAAGCAATGACAAGACATATACCTGCGTGTGTGTTAGGAATAACACTGTCAACCGCAGTTAAGCAAGACACGCACGTTCCCTACTCTCCTTCCCATTAGCCTTTTCCAGAATAGTTTACTTTCAATAGAGAATATATAACCCCAAGAGTGCAAAGCATTTACATACCTTCTTTTCAGTGCTCAGACAGCATTACATCCCTTCATTACCGCCTACCCAGAAGGAAAGCAGTCCCTTTCCAACCAGCCAATATTTATTGCCAAATACAACCTATATGAAAGGTATGTTTATCTTGTAAGACACATTTTTGCATGCTATTATTGGTGTCTTCATGTCAACAAGTGAGTTAGGAAAAGCATCTCTACTCTGAAGGTCTAGCAAGCATCAGCAAACTGCTAGCAGCACAAGTGGTCTAAGGGTCAAATTAGGGTCCTAATCTTCAGCTCACTTCGTCTGTCAGACTGCCATGACTACACAGGTCAAGAGTATTGTCCGTCTGACAGTTGGGAGACTAGAAGGAGCAGTGCAGCACTGAGGAAAGGCCAAGCAAGTACAATCTCTTCCGTACTACTGAGTTCCTATTGAAGCATTTGGGACGTCACAAAACCAGTGATTTAAACAAACTGGTGTGCAGCTGTCAGCAAATGGAATTTACCTTGAGGTTTGGGTTTGGTAAGCTTCCCACAAGGCTTTGAGATTGTGACGGTCTTCTGGCAGTCAGCATTATGAAGGGCTCTCTTTAGGTTCCCAGTTCGAGTCTTCAAGGCAGTATTCAAGTCACATTCTCCCCAGGCCTGGAACTGGTATTTACACTCTGCTGCAAAAAACGAATACATAGCCATTTTTAAAACAGAATGACTGAGCATGCAACAAGAAAGCTATCTGAGTCTAATAGGAAATCATGGACTGCCCGTGCTTGCAGACAGAAGGATCATGAAAGCAAAGAAAGAAAGCCCAAGACAAATTTAAAGAACAAAACAAACAGAAACGTTTTAAAATGGAATCCTCCGGACTGGCATGGATATGGCATTATTGTCCTATAAAGGAAGACATATGCAACTATGAAGTTACAAAATAAATAGAAAGAGAAAACAACAGTGGGAAATATTCTCAGATTCTAATTGCTCAGATTCTATATGGCTGATACGCCAATTGTGTGATGCCAAAGGGTAGCAAACAAGGCTTAAATAGTTTCACGAGTGTATATGCAGCAATGAACTTGTCAAGTCTGGAAGTGCTACACTGATTGCCTTGGTAAGGTCTCATAACAGTCTCAAAGTCATATATGCTGCTTACCAGCAAAAAAGCCAAGCTTGCAAGAGTAATCAGATCCGAGTCCCGGACAGACATCTTGTCCAGAACAGGTCTGACCTATCTTTCTGAACTGTGTGGATGAAGTACACTGGTTTTCATTCATTCCTTCCAGTGCACACACTGGAGGCTACCCATGCTCCATGCTACAAATGACACATCACAAGGTCATGTAAAGACCACGGTACCCATAGCACAGACTCACACCTGTGAGAGAACAGGTGATGCTTACCTTGATGCCTTAAACATAACTGTCCAAAGGACAGCAGGGTTAAACAAGCTGCTGGAACACTGAGGTTATAATAAGTAGGTTACACAGACTGTCCGCTACAGGGGTTGCTTTAATCTGAAGAGACTACCCTCTGACAGCCTCACATAATTTAGCTGCAATGAATTTGAAATGCAGAAGTAGTAGCCCCTTCACCAAGACACTTGCCAGAGCAAAGCATAAGACATAGACTTCCTTCTCCACCCTTAGGTAAAAAACTAAGCAAATCCCTTAGGAAAGTGAAGCGTACCTCCAAATTGCTTCTTCCAGTTGCAGGGAATCTTACACTTCTGAGTCTTGGTGGTTTGCTTGCACTCAGCTCCACTGCGAGTGCCCTCACGTGTCCCCAGGCCACAGTCACCACTGGTGGGTACACAGACACTCCACTGCCATTCCCCACAGTCGGACTTCTTCGCCTTTTTCTCTGGATGATGCCAAGGAACCAAACCCAAGCAAGAGAAGTGGTCAGGACCCAGAGCTTATGGAAAAGTTTCCATTCATTAAACTTGTTAAACAGTCACTACACACGAAAGAATAGATAAAGGAGATATTCTTAATACAATTCCTTCAAAAGCAAAAGGTCTGGCATCCTCTTCACAGGTCTACAGAGATGGATCAGCCTCCTAGACTTTAAGTTCAAACCAGGGTGGATCACTCAAATTCAGTCTCGCTGTATATGGTACCACACAGATATTCTGGAGTGGATTCTCATTGCGAGAACAGGGAATAGTCTAGACAACCTCAAGGATCACTGACCAAAACATGTAGGAATGCTCACTCAGAAAGGACATTCTTCTGTCCCCTAGTAACTGATAGCATGTAAATATTTTCAGTGTCAACTGAAGCCCTATACAATATACAGGTAATAAGTTTACGTGCTGACATCATGTATCAGAGGATTCAAGGACCTCCAGGGAACACCACAGGATACAAATTTTTCATTTGTATAGCATGCTACAGTGTGTCAGAATATAACCTAAACTTCAAAGGAGAGAACAAACTAGATGGAGCAGGGTACCCAAATGCAAATTTAATACAATTGTTGATCACGCTACATGTAAATGGCCAGAATCTGATCAGATCAGCTCTAAACGCTGACAACATAGGGGTTTTGTTACTCAGGGACAAAAGGAAGGGTCTATTTAAATCCTTACACCTAAGTCTGATGAGAAAAAATTAGCAGTGTTATCAAACCCAGGTGTCCAAAAGATCATGAGCACAAGCAGCTTTAAATAACACGTACAGAATGATTTGCCTTTTAGTTTTTGTATATTTTCGTTCACGTTTTCTCATATTTCCATACAGTCACAACAGTTAGAAACATTCCTTTTTAATGGGAGCGCTAACTCTAAAGGACTCATAGGTCATACTAACCAGTATGTAAGTAGTCTGTAAATAGTAAGACTTTAAGAAAAATATCAAAACATGTCATCCGTAAAAATCATTAAAATTGGGTTTGATAGATGTGAATTTTCCACCTCAGGCCTGTCTCACCTATAACGAGGTCTGACTTCATCAATGACAGGAAGCAATAACCACTGGATGCCAAGTTGTCTATCTGCAGCAGAGGCTTAGTTCAATTCACCGGTGAATGATTTCCACATCATACAGAATTGGTAGCATTTTCATATACGACACTGAATAAACAACATAACTGCTTCTCTGTGGTTCTCTCTTCAAGTATGAACTCATACCCAGAGCAAATTTTAAGGGAAGCTACCTTGCAATACCCACTCTGCGATAAATTGAGGACTTCAGTCCCTGGGGCTGTCTAGTTGGCAGCTTTCATGGAAACTAATTTCTGTTTTCCTACTTAACATAGGATAACATGTCACAGCCACAAATCCCTGCCCTGACTATCAAAAGGTTAATGACTACACTGAATTTCCTAACAAAGACCAGAAGCGTTTGACATTCTTCCACCCATGCAATCTACCTTGGGAATTAACACTTGATTACATTGGACCTTACCTGGTTTCTCTTTTTTGCCAGCCTCAGTGGTGCTTACAGCTGCCAAAATGAAAACAAGTGCCAGAAGGGCAGCTGTGAACATTCGACGTTGTTGTTGCTGTTGCATTCTGCGGATTAACAAGAGAGAGGAAAAAGCGTTGGTTAGATTGCAAATTATCTAAGATATGGCCACAGCATTTCCAGGAGCTATACTTCTGGGCCACAAGACACAAGCAGCTCTATCACACTATCACACACTATCAATTATTGGCAAAATGGGCAGTTATTTTCATTATAAACAGAATATAACGATTTTTAACCTTTTATTTTCCATCCTAAGTACCAAACCCTAATCTACATCACTGATGTTATGGATGAGCGTTGCCACAGGAAGTTCAGCAATTCAATATTGCTCATTCTGTAGAGACCTGAGAGAGACTGAAGTCTACTGAGGGCCTGGGACTTCTCTTTCCTTTCCTTACACCTGGCTATGACTTAGTGTGTAAAACTAAACACAGCATATACTTTGCCTTTCAGCTTACCCATTAATATAAAGCAGGGAACGCTACACAGTCCATCTTGAGAGGGTTCAAGTTTTTATTAGGCTTATTTGACATTTTAAAAGAGCTTCTTTCACAAAAACAGCTTATACAGGTAAAATGTGAAGCATTATCTTAATTGTCACTGGTATGTTGCTACCTACCTTCTCCTTCCCCTCCAGCTGGTGTCTCTTCCTAATATCAGTTAAGCTAATTGCCTCAAATGCAAAATGGGCACACAACTAGGACTTGTACACATAGCTAGAGGCTATCCCTAGCATGTTAGGGAAGTATACACAATGAAACCAAAAGCTGGATTTGGGAACCAAATATTCAAATATAAAAAGGAATTAAAAACATTTGCTTGGTGCTGAAGAATCAATTACTAGCTCGTCACCAAAAACTATTCAGACCTGGCAGAATTAAATGGCTTACGTAAACATTTCCCCTTCACTTGGCTATAATTTGCATTGCCTCATCTAGGCTCCCTGAAAGCAGGGTGGTAAAAACTGAGCAACCTCTCCATTTCCCAGAGGCACCTCTCCAGTCAGCAGCAGGGTACAAAGAGGGGGGACTAGACACTAGTTGGATGGAAGGATTCCCCATCCTTTTTTTTTTTTTTTTTTTTTTTTTTTTTAAAAAACAGACCCCCCCCCTTTTTTCTTTCCCCGGGAAA